TATTATACGTTTTTCTCTCTGTAAAATTGTGTATCTCATACACAGTAATAGCCCAATATATAGACGTTATTAGGTTACAAGAGCATAAAACCTCACTGATTAATGACTCCTCATATAACCACCCACTTAACCTTTATTGGGCTTAGTGTGCTTTTCATCTCGTGTTTTTATGGGTGACCTTATAGGATCCGATTAAATTAGCAGCAAGCCCACTAAATAACAGGTCTGCAAATCGTAGTTGGTTTCTAAGCAAAACATTACGATTCCTAAAATAACCGAATTAATAATCTCCTTAATTAATCTTATATTATATTTAGTAATTGCTATACTTGATCGAGGACACTCCTTCACGAATAGAGTTGTACAAGCTAAAATATATACATTGAGGGAAACTAAGAAAGGAAACTAACAAAGGATATGAACAGGAAATTAGGAGAGAATAAAATCAGAAATGCTGATTGATATCAATCCCTTGATTGGTGGCACGATTAACGGGATTGATATAGTTTATCCCTTAATATGCCCCCTCAAAACGGTCAGGCCAAGATGAGAGACCGATTTTGGATATCAACGTGGTAAACTCTTGATGTGGCAGAGGTTTTGTTATAGCATCTGCCAGTTGATCAGAGGAGGAGATGTAGGAGACTCGGAGGTTGCCTGCTTGAACATTTTCGCGGACAAAGTGGTAGTCTAGAGCTAGGTGCTTCATTTTAGGGTGAAAAACTGGATTAGCACTAACATAGGTTGCACCCGCATTGTCACAATAGATAACCAGTGTAGATGGAAGGGAGTATCCGAGTTCCTTGAACAGATTTTGAACCCATAATACTTCGGAGGTAGCACTCACAACCGCCCGATACTCAGCCTCAGTTGATGATCTTGCTCTTGTACGCTGCTTCCGTGATGACCAAGAGATGGGGTTCTTGCCAAGATAAACAATGTATGCTATGGTGGAGATGTAGTCATCTTTGTCTCGAGCCCAATCAGCATCCGAAAATGCATGGAGAGAGATTGGAGAATTTTTAGACAATGTAAGACCCATATGTGAAGTGCCGGCTAAGTATCTTAGAAGTCTATGAAGAGCTTGTTGGTGTATCGTAGTTGGTCGTTGCATGTACTGAGCAAGTTTATTTATTGCAAAGGCTACGTCTGGCGTGTGAGACCAAGGTACTGCAAGCTGCCAATGAGCTGCCGGTATACCGTAGGATCGGGTAGAAGCTCTCCATGCATCGTTAGTGTTGGATGGGAAACAAGAGGGGTTGCAGTAGGCTTGGCTTCATCCATGTTGGCCTTGCATAGGATATCATTTATGTACTTCTTTTGGCTGAGAAAAAAGACCTTGAGGGTGTGGCATGACTTCCACTCCTAAGAAGTAGGAGAGGTCACCAAGATCCTTGAGGGAAAATCGGGCAGCAAGAGAAGTAATAAATGACTCCAAAAAAGATGGTGCATTACTTGTTACAATAATGTCATCAACATAAACAAGTAAATAAATGATTTTACCGTTAGCATGGAGGGTGAAGAGAGATGAGTCAGAAATAGTGTTTTTGAAGCCCAGGTGAAGGAGATGTTGTCATAGTTCGGTATACCATGCTCTCGGTGCTTGCTTCAAGCCATATAGTGCCTTATTGAGCTTGCAAACATGGGTAGGCCGGTTGGGATCACAATACCCTGGAGGTTGTATGGTGTAAACATCTTCGGAAAGGGTCCCTTGTAAAAATGCGTTGTTGATGTCAAGTTGTCGAAGAGGCCATGCGTGAGTAACTGCAAGAGATAGGACAACACGAACTGTTGCAGGTTTGACCATTGGACTAAAAGTTTCACCATAATCAACACCCGGTCGTTGGTTGAAACCTCGAGCAACATATCGTGCTTTATATTGAGTGATGTTACCTTCTTTGTCCCGTTTTATTCGGAATATCCATTTACATCCTACGACATTTTGTGATGGAGAAGAAGGAACAAGCTCTCATGTATTGTTCTTTAACAGAGCATTCATTTCCTCATCCATTGCTTTCCTCCAAACCGGACTTTTTAAGGCTTGAGTGATGGTCTTCGGTACCTGTACATCAACAACTTCAGCATTTAAGTTTAGTTTGTTAATTGGTTTCCGAATACCTTGTTGAAGCCGTGTGGTCATTTGGTGGGTTGGGGGGTTTTTCGGTTTGGGAGGGTAGTGATGGATGGGTGGTAGGTGGTGTTGGTGGAGAGGTCGTAGGAGAAGAGGTTGAAGATGAAGGTGGTTGTGCAGTGTTGTTTGTGTGGGCAGCGGAAGAATAGGAAGTATAATTGGGTGATGATGATGAGATGGAGGGTGGGTGGGGATGTGTCGTCATTTGATGATGATGTAGTATTATGTGTTGTTGAGTGGGAAGGTTGTGTGGGATATGAGGATGCCGTAGGATTTAGGATTTGAAGGGTGAGAGGGGCCCACTCCTCAATTAGATTAGGTAGAGGTGTAGAATAGGTATGGTTTTCCGAGAATGGAAATTTATTTTCTATGAAATGAACATGTCTAGATGTATAAATACGATGAGAGTCTACTTCTAGGCAATAATAAGCACTTTGTGATGGGACTACCCAATAAAAAACACATGGTTTGGACTTCATTTGTAGTTTATGAGAGGTGTAAGGTTTAAGCCACGGGTAACAAAGACACCCAAAGCTTCTTAGTTTAGTGTAATTTGGGTGAATACCAAATAGTTAAAGAAGGGAGAATTATTATTAAGTGTTGGAGTAGGAAGACGATTTATAAGATATGTAGCTGTTGAACAAGCATGTGTCCAGTATTTGAGAGGCATGTGAGCGTGTGTAAGTAAGGTTAAGAAGGTTTCAACGATATGTCTATGCCTGCGTTCGGAATACCCGTTATGTTGAGGGGTATAAGGGGGTGTTGTAAGGTGAGATATATCGTCAATGGTTAAAAAGGTTGCGAAGAGATTTATATTCTCCACCATTGTCCGAGTATAGAGTTTTTATAGGGAGTTGGAAGAATTTTTCAACTACTGCTTTGTACCTAATAAATATGTTTTTAGTGTCCGATTTTTGTTTTGGTGGATACAACCATATATATTTTGAGAAGTGATCAACAAATATGACATAGTACTTAAAACCATCATGGGAGTGTATTGGCAAAGGCGGGGCTACAAATGCTAATAATGAAAATGACCCGGTGCAATTTTGTTAAATAGGCCTTAAAATAATTTTAAGGAGGAAAAATATGTTACTAAATTCAAAATTGGGGCTCTTTTATAGTAGTTTCACTTAGGGGTCTTGTGCGATCAATCACCCTGCACATGCTCAGAACCACCCCTGTGTATTGGTGATGTCCACAGATCGGTATAAACATATTGTAAAGGAGCAATAGAAGTAATTGAGGAAGTAGAGAAAGGAAGACGATGACTTTTATTGCAAGCACATGAGTTACATTCTTGGGTGGAAATACTAGGTACATGTAGTTTATTTTGAGAGATGAGATGACGGAAAACATTTTGAGAGGGATACCCAAAACGATGATGCCAATCAATAGAGGAGAGTTTTGTGGTTGTAAAGACCTTGGGATTTTGAACTGAGATGTCATAGATGCCATCTTTAGATTGGCCCTGAAATAGACATGCCCCCGTTTTGAGATCTTTAAAAGAAAAAGAATAAGATGAGAATAAAACAGAAATATTGTTATCTCTACAGAGTTGAGAAATAGAAATGAATTTTTAGATATTGCAGGCACGACAAGAACATTATTTAAAATAATAGAATTGGGAAGAGTGATTGAACCATGATGAGTAATTTTAAGATTCGCAACGTCACCGACAATTAGTTCTTCCATTACCATCATAGGGAGAATGTAGAGAAAGGTTGTTTAAGTCGTTTGTGACATGGTGTGATGCACCGCTGTCAAGCAACCAAGGGGTGTTTAAGGTAGGGTTGTTGGTGGCTGGTGAAGCCATTGTTATGGAGATGTGGATTGCCGGGGAGAGTGGTTGTGTTTGATCGGATGGCTGATACCATAAATTTACTTGCATCGAATAGAGTTGTACAAGCTAAAATATATAAATTGAGGGAAGCTTAGAAAGGAAACTAACAAAAGTATGTACAGGAAATTAGGAGAGAATAAAATCAGAAATGCTGATTGATATCAAGTGGCAAGATCAACGGGATTGATATAGTTTATCCCTTAATAGAAAACACACACAAATTATCAAAATTTTCCCTCTTTTTCTACAGGATTACTCCATTGTCTGCAATAAATAACACAATTTTTTGTGCCTTAGTTTTATTTTTGTGGTCCATTGTTTGTGTTGTGTGGAATGAACTGAGCAATTTTGTAATGTTGAAAGTCAATTGGCAAAACGTCAAGAAAAGTGACACTACTCCATAGTTTATATCATAATATGCAACTTCAGATGTTTAGAATTGTCAATTTTGTCTAAAGGGAAAACACTAGTTTTTCCCATATATCTCTATAATCAAATCACGTGTCAAACGGTGCTATATAACTTGAAAAAAAATGCGATTTTTTTTTTTAAGATATACAAAGTACTGTATTGTTTCCATTCTTATTTGCAAGTTGCAATATTTGATATTTACTCTCTTCATATTCTCACATGTGTCTATTAACAACTTCCAAATGTTTAGAAATAATCAAATAAAGTATAATCATCTGGATTTTGATGTAAAGTAACAAGCAGACGAAGTAGTGGCTGTAAAGAGAATATTGAGCATTATTTGACTATATAATAGTGCTAGTTTATTGTCTACTATCTACCAACCAGTTTTCCCTCCACATATATTAATAGCTGTTTAGACCTACCGAAAAAAATAAGAGTGTGCAGTTTTATTCACCTGATTTTCGCTTAATTTATACTTGGAATAAGTGAAAAAAAAGGTGAACAGAAAAGGCTCTAAGTATCGTATAAGGTAATGCACAAATTTTTAGAGATAATACTAGTTAAATCCTAAACGAACAAATACTGAAATGAATAGAGTATAAATATAAGCAGTTATTTATCATTTCCCACTAATCGATGGTTTAAAGTATTAATTAATGGAAGTAGATGAAGTTGTAGCAGCATTTTCTATATAAAGTGATCACTAATCAGAATTCAAGATGTTCTTGCTTTGGTGTCTACTACTACTTCAAGTGGTGGGTTGCTATTGCTAATGTCTTCTCTTTCTCTCTCTTTCCACTCATTTCTTTTGTTAATATTTATGCTAATTAAATTAATTAGTTTTGTGTGCTATAACAGAGGAAAAGGAAGTGAAAATGGCAAGCCAAAAGATCTCATCTTTCCTATCTCGCACATTGGCTTCATCTTCAATCCGTTCCCTTTCACAACATGGTACTTTCTTAGCTCAATATATACATTTATTTTTTTGTTGCTTATTTGAATGGCAAAAGGTAGAGGTGTACTGTCGACAGGATTTGATCCCGGGTTTTGAATACCATCTTAGACCTGTAAGTAATTAAGTTAGTTGACATTCACGGTATACACTTTAGTGTTTTGTTAGTAAGGTGAAGTTCTCATGTTTAATTAGCTCATGTATTAGTATTGAGTAGTGGTAAGTGAGATGAGATCTAACATGTTAGATGACCAGCTCAACCAAAAACCTAAGCTGATGATTAAGGCCAGAACATGTTTAATTGTTGTTACAGTTTCTTAACTTTTATGCTCTGAAAGTCTGAATTAATTTGGTTTAATAAAAACGATGATGTGCACATTCCGCACATAGCACATCTATAAAATTGTTATACAGACTACAGTGTATTTTGAATGTTGTACCTTTAAATATTATATTTTTGGCTTTTAATATTTGTAACCATGGGTAAAGATCCATGCTACCGAGCTATGTAACCGTATTACTTACTTTATTTTCTTTTACTTACAACACAGTCTTAAAATACTTTTTGAATGGAGGTCAAAAGAAAAGTTTAACACTGAAGGCTCAGTTTATATATTTGATATCATTAGACTATTATCAAACAATTATTAATAGCCTGATCTCCTAAAATATATGTACATGTCTTGTTTTATGAAATGAAGAAAATTTATTTTAGTCTTGTAAATTGCAATGAGCTACATATGCAACAACATTTTATATTATAAATTGACTAGTGAAGCTTATAATAAACATTCCCTTTAGTTAGAAGTGTTGGTGAAAACATGTAAAAAAAAAAACTTCCAAGATATATGCACCCATAATTTGTATCCAAAATCCATTTGTTTCAAATGTAGGGTATTTTAATTATTCTTTTGTTTAAGACTGATACTGAAGCTTTTGTAATTGTTCAGGAAGGACTAGTCACTGCAGAAGAGTGGTGAGCAGATACAGCACAGCTGCTGCTACTGAGGATCCTATTACTCCACCTGTGAGTGTAAAATATACTCAGCTTCTTATTGACGGAAAATTCGTGGATTCTGCATCAGGTGTGTCTTTAGTAAGCTCCTAATGATGACAATCAGAAGAGAAAATTACTAACGGTTGCTGAGGGTGATGATGATTAATAGCTTTCCATCTGTTTCAGGTAAAAAATTTAAAACATACGATCCTAGGACAGGAAATGTGATTGCAGAAGTTGCTGAGGGTGATGCTGAGGATATTAATCGTGCAGTTGCTGCTGCTCGCAAAGCATTTGATGAAGGGCCTTGGCCTAAGATGACTGCTTATGTAACCAGCTAGCTTCTTGCATTAAAATTGATATTACAAAAGCCACAGTAAAACTGCAGTAAATAAGTCTATGTTTTCATTTTTCAGGAAAGGTCAAAAATTCTGTTCAAATTTGCTGATCTACTTGAGCAGCATACTGATGAGATAGCTGCTCTTGAGACTTGGGATAATGGCAAGCCATATGAGCAAGCTGCTAAAGCCGAATTACCAATGTGTGTTCGTCTAATGAGATATTATGCTGGTAGGTGTTGAAATAAGCTAAGCTTTTAGCATTGCCTTTTTTTTATTCCATTTCCGAAGGACTAATTAACCAACGTCTGTCATAAGGGGGGAGGGTTTAAGAACATGTATTTGGGTATCTCTTGACAATTGTTCAATGTTGGAATTTCTTAGGATGGGCTGATAAGATACATGGTCTAACCGTTCCTGCTGATGGACCATATCATATGCAAACTCTGCATGAACCCATAGGGGTAGCAGGACAGATTATCCCATGGAATTTCCCTATTCTCATGTTTGTGTGGAAGGTTGCGCCAGCCTTAGCATGCGGGAATACCATTGTTTTGAAGAGTGCGGAACAAACACCATTAACTGCAATCTATGCTGCAAAGTTACTCCAAGAGGTACTTAATTACCCAATGAAAAGTCTAAATATGCGCCTCTTTTCATCTATTCCAACTTGTTTTGCTTCAGATATTCTCCGTAATAGATTTTATGGACTTCAAAATGGTAGAATGGACAAGCTAAGTACTATTGATTGAGGAAGTATTCCACAGATTATTAGCATTAGAATTTAAATCATTGATGATTATACTGCAGAAATATTTCATTTTTAATAGGCTTAATTAGGTTCCTGATAAAATGATCTGATCATCATACTAATACATCTATCCTTGGCAAGCTTGGTTATCTGTTACAAGTGTCGAATCTAAACCAATCAGTCAAAAAAGAGAGATAAGCTTTGGACATCATACTTTTCGAGTGATATAAAAGAAATGTATCTGGATTGAAGTTTGCTGATCTTAATATGTTCTGCTGCAGGCTGGACTTCCTGACGGTGTCATAAATGTGGTCTCCGGCTATGGTCCTACTGCTGGTGGAGCTCTTGCTTCTCACATGGATGTTGATAAGGTAATAACCAGCACCTCGTTGAAGTTTGTCTCTTATATGATTCAAAATGTCAGTTATGGATGTCCAAGATAATGTCACCAAACAGACTATAATTAACTGATCTTATGTACATTGACATAACATAAAATTCTGCATTGCAGCTGGCTTTTACCGGATCAACTGTGACTGGAAAGCTAGTGCTTGAAATGGCATCAAAGAGTAATCTAAAGCCGGTAACTTTAGAGCTTGGAGGAAAATCTCCTTTTATTGTGTGCAAGGATGCTGATATAGACAAGGCAGTGGAACTAGCCCATTTTGCTCTCTTCTTCAACCAGGTTAGTCAGCTTTCGTTATATAGTCCAGGTTATCGAGTCATGTTAGTGAATTTCATGGGTCATTTCCATTTTTTTTCTCAGGGACAATGCTGCTGTGCTGGTTCTCGTACATATGTACATGAAAGCGTATATGATGAGTTTGTTGAGAAAGCAAAAGCACGTGCTATGAAGCGTGTTGTTGGTGATCCTTTTCAGAAGGACATTGAGCAGGGTCCTCAGGTAAACAGATAGAAAAAGACACATTTGCATAATTTCCTATGTATAGGCCAGAACCTTACATGTTGAATACATGATGCTTTTTTTAATTATGAAATTCTCACTTTCTCTGGAATGCCTCAGATTGATTCAGAGCAATTCGAGAAGGTGATGCAATACATAAGATCAGGTATCGAGAGTGGAGCTAAGCTCGAAACAGGAGGAGAAAAATTAGGCTCAAAGGGTTATTACATTCAACCTACTGTTTTCTCCAATGTCAATGAAGACATGTTGATTGCACAGGATGAGATCTTTGGTCCTGTTCAGTCCATCTTACATTTCAAGTGAGTATCTTTAATTTACACTAGCAGCGTATCTAAGAATTTTATTTTTCATGACCATCCCTGAGATGTATTTATCATCTACTTGTAGGGACATACAAGAGGTGGCTCGACGAGCCAATAATACACACTATGGATTGGCAGCAGGAGTGTTCACACAGGACATCGACACTGCTAACTACTTGGCTCGAGCTCTCAAAGTAGGCACGGTTTGGGTTAACTGCTACGATGTATTCGATGCAGCCATTCCCTTTGGGGGGTACAAGATGAGTGGACAAGGAAGGGAGAAGGGTATATATTGTCTCATGAACTACTTGCAAGTCAAGTCTGTGGTTACACCTTTGAAGGATCCTGCATGGCTGTAGAAAAAACACAGATTACCATTGTTGTTTGATTCAAGTCTTTTGTCCTTTGTGTTAAAAACGAAACTCGCAGGAACAAAAATTAATAAGAAACAATGTTACCGAGAAAAAGATTGAGTCGCAGACTACGTCGCTCTCTTTAGAACATTCACGGTACTGCCAAAAATGTGTGCAAGCAGCTTGTAGGTAACCGAACATCCCCCAGGATAAAACAGTCTCTCAAAACTATAAAGTGCCGATGGATTTGCACTGAACCACCGGGCTAACTAAACACCAAAAACTGAAAACTGCTGAAATTCTGTATTTAAGGGGGAAGAAGAGAAGATTAGGAAAAATGAGTTTTTTGTGTTTTAACACTGAAGAATGCTGTATATATATAGGCCAGCTGATTTGAACGTTTCAAGCAAAAATAACGCATCATTAAATCAGAAAACAGTCAAGCAAAATTAACGCACCATTAACTCAGTAAACGGTACTAATTAAACCGCAGAATTCAAGAGCAAAACAGCTTCAAAACAGTCAAATTTTAATTAGCATAAAATCTGGAACAAAACAGTAATCAACCATGAATATCGGGATTTAAAACAATAAAGAATCGGTCGAAACGATTAGCAAAAATCAAGGCACTAATTACGTAATGAAGCCTTGTTCAAAAACTGTATTAAAAATTAAGCTTGATTAATAAACCCGACCCAGCCCAACCCAGTGTGCATGTGTTGGGTTGGTTGGTAAGTCCTCCCTCTCCACAAAATGTGGGTAGCCCTTGGGCCACACCCAAGTATACCAAGTACTACATAATAAAGAAGGAAAAACTTTCATTTCCCACGAAGGTGAAACTTTGTTTTTTTTTTTTCACAAAATTCACACTAAAACATACTTTGTTTCAACACTTTGTTGCGCAATTACTCACAGCTGAAATAAAAGGAGGCTTTTTTTTTTTTTTCTGCCTTGGTTTAATATTCAATTGTTATTGTCTATATAAAAACTTCATTTGAGCATTTTATTTTTTCGAATTCATTGAAATTGCATTTAGTTTAACATCATCTAGCCTTTAAACTATGCCATATTGGTGCAAAGTGCAATACTATTTTCACTAGCTGGGCCTCTAAGTGTTGAATTATTTGCTGTATAACAATCAACTCACTTTAATTATACAAGTAATCATTTAATGACTCGAGTGTAAGGGGCTAATATCAGGAAAAAAAAAAAAAATTTTGACCATTATGGAGCCCCCGGAGGCGGCAATTTGTATGATTTACCTTCTTCAAATAAAAGTTGTCACATTATATACAGTTCAAGAATATCTTTCTCACTTTCTTAGATCGTTACATTGACTTTTTACAATCTCATAAACAAATATTAAAAAGTTGATGTTAAAAAAACAGTATCGAGTGAAAAGAATTAATCAAGATCTCAATTTCTCAATATCCCATATGACCATGATAATTCTAATAGATTAATGGTGAAAGTGTTAAAATTTTGAAATAAAATATTGCAATTGGGCAAGGGACAAGGACGAAGGGTATAATTTAGTCACCCGTTAAGGTAATTAAATTTTTTTATTTTTAATGATAGACACTTTGCTTGTTTTACACTTAAACGGATTACCAACCTAGTTACATGTAGAGCTAGGTATGTGTATATATATATGTTTGGCCCTGTTGGGTTAGCATGAAAATGGCCAAATCCGACATAAGAGACACGTCGGAGGACCATGAGCATGGAAATCTTTTAAAAATTTGGCACAAGCACGACAAATTAACTTATATATTGTTTGGGTCCAATTTACTTCAATTGGACTGGTCCACAAATGGTTCAATTACAAAGCCCAAAAGCAAGGTTCAACTCTCCAGTCAAATGTCATGTCAGTCAACGTGGCAAACCCATTTGACTTCAAGGCCCACTTATCTATTGGAAAGGTATAAAAGCCTTCATTCTCTTCTCTCTACATTCATTCACTTCGAGCCTCAAGCAATTAATACTCTTGCATAGCTTTCCCTCTCTAAACATTGTACTGACTTCGGCATTGGAAGTGTCTTCCTCGGCACAACCCCCGAGGCCAGTTTACGTGTGTTTGTTGTGCAGGAAACCCTCGTCCCAGTCATCACTTGGGTCGAGTCTAGTCTTCAGCCCACAAGAAAGGTCCAGACGAAGGACCTATTGTTTTCATCTGAAACAATTTGGCGCCGTCTGTGCGGAAGACATTAAAATATATATATATATATATATAAGCCAAAAATTGATCATTTTAGCAACATGACTAAGAGCGAAAAGAGTGCCAAAAGCACTAAAAAGAATGGTCCTCCTCACTCGAAGAGAGGTCCACCTTCTTCATCATCTTCGGGAGTGGCTTTTTCTGAGAAAGCCGCATCCGAGAGGTCACCCTCTCGTCATATTGGGCAACTGTCGAGCACTCGCCGGCCAAGTCAAACTAATGCTAAGAGTCCAACTCCTAGCTTACACTCACTATCTCACCTGACACCTCAGACGGGTTCTACTACAGAGGAGGTAGCGAAAGCCATCATGATCTTCATAGACTTTGTGAAGGCCCAAGCAGGCAATTTTCTGCCACCTCCCAGCCAATCAGTCCACGCCAACACTCCTCAGCATCCGAGAAACCTGAGAAGGAGGACCAGCCAAAAGGACGGCGGGCGAGCTCCATCTTTCAAGGATCTCGGAGAGAAATGGGAAGAGGATACTTGGAGAACTGAACGGGAAAGAAAGAGGAACCCCCAGTCTTTCGAGGAATCCGAAACCCGAAGTTTCAAAAGCAGTAACACCGCCTCTATGTGGCAGGAACCTACTCGCCGAAATGTTCACGAACGCATCGGCTCAAGGGAGGTAAGTGTGCACAGTCGCCTCACTTACCCAGAAGGGACTGCACCATACCCCGCACCGTCCCAACTGAGGACATAAACCACTTCTACCTCTCTAAGAGGGCGAAGCGAGGTCTGTTCGGCTGGGTACAAGGGGAAAGCCGTGATGGTACCCACCAGTTCACGCTTCCAAAGCTGGATTATGGAAGAGCATGTGCTGACGGTGAAAATACTGGCACATAACATATGATGGAACTTCAGATCCGAAGGACCACATCGCCTCTTATGAGGGGCATATGTATCTGAACCCCAGGTCCGAAGCGACCTGGTGTAAATATTTCCCGACCACTCTCAAGGGTGTTGCACAAGCATAGATCACCAAGGGAGTGAATTAAGGCTCTATAACCGGTTGGAAATACCTTTCCAATAAGTTTAAGAGCAAGTTTTCTATGGAAAACCGCCGAGAGAAGACGACTGCTGAGCTGATGAGCCTGCAGCAAGGGGAGGACAAAAGCCTCCGAGACTATCTGACTCGCTTCAGCAACGAGTCGTCCAGAATTACAAGTCTGGACCAAGGGCTAGCCATTTTCGCATTGCGTAATGGGCTACAGGCTGGAAAGTTCCTTGACTTCATGGTCATGCACACCCCACAGACCTTGGAGGAAGCTTTAGAAGCTTCAGATAAGTACATCCGAGCTGAAGAGTGGAACAAGACCAAGTCCCAAGCTCAAACTGGGACTGGTAAAACAAAAGGACAAATGTCTGAAGGCTAGAGCCAAAGGAAAGGGAAGGTCGAAGCCTTAGAACCGTCCTCGGCTACTGAGCCGAAAAAAGAAAAAGCCCATTCGTAGGGAAATACGAATCTTACACTCCTCTCGTTCTTTCGCGTGCTAAAATTTATAGCATAACGAAGGACGAACAGAAATGGAAGAAGTAGAGGCCACTTCCATCGTGGCATCAGCAGAAAAATAAAGATCGATGGTGTGAGTTCCACGAATCTCCAGGACACCACACCGAGGACTATATCCAGATGAGAGATCAGATCGAGGATATAATCCGAAAGGGCTATCTGAAAAAATACCTCGCGGATCGACGCAAGGCTCGAAGATAAAGATAATATCGACATCCTTGTCATTTTTGGGGGGGACGAGTTCCCGAAACGCTCGAAGCGTCACTTGAGGGGTTGAACTCATTAAGTCAACCATGCTGCCATTCAAGGCCCAAAGTCTCCGGTGCCGAACTTTACGTGCATAGTCGAAGACTGTCGGGGGGTGGCATACCCCCATGATGACCCGCTGGTAATCATCGTAGGAATTGTAAACCTCAACGTCTGGCGAACCCTCGTCGACGGTGGTAGTGGAGAAATCATCCTCTTCCGAGAGGCGTATAACGAGCTGGAGTTGCAGACCAAGGACCTGAATCCAGTACCCTACCCGGTATTCGAATTTAATGGGTCTATAACATACCCAGATGGGAAGATCACCCTTCCCATCACCATCGGCAAAGACCGAGCAGCTCGGAACATCATGGCCGAATTTCTATAGATGTTCCATCTGCATACAACGTGATCATGGGGAGACCCATAATTCACGAAATTCAAGGAGTGGTCTCCACGTATCATCAAATGATGATATATGTATCAGACGAGGGCCACTCCGAAAGAATCCAGGGCAGCCAGAAAGAAGCCCGCAGATGCAATTACCTCAAGCCATCTAAAGATCGCCGCGATGACTAGGATGTGGAGGAAAAAGAAAAAGAAAAGGACTGAAGTGCAAAAAAGCATAAAGGCTTAAGCACTTCAGCTTAAGGTACCCCTACCCAAGAAAAGCAAAAAGGGGGAGGAAAGGCTAGTTCCTCATCCGGACCGAAAGATTCGGAAACTCAACCGAAGTTTGGGACGCTTGCCGATATCGACAGCAGGCCAGATTGTGAAGAGTTCGGTTCCAAATCAATTGAGTTGATCGAAGGAGACCCTGAAAAGTGTGTCAGCATCGGGCTTGGACTTCACCCAAATATCCGTGTTGAACTTATCCAACTCCTTCCGGACAACAAAGATGTGTTCGCTTTCTCAGCGGCAGACATGCCAGGGATCGATCAGAACCTCATCTCCCACAAGCTGAACATCAACCCAACCTGTCGACTTGTTAAGCAAAAGAAGCGGAATTACTCCGCTAATAAGAACCGAGACATCGCAGCTAAAGTAAAAAAACTTTTGGATGCAGGCTTCATCGAACCCTGCCAATATCCAGAACGGTTGGCTAATGTGGTAATGGTTCAAAAGGCAAATGGCACTTGGAGAATGCATGTTGACTTCGCGGACCTAAATAGGGCTTGTTCGAAGGACTTTTATCCCTTGTCGAGGATCGTTCAGTGACTCGACAAGTGGCCACGCCCTGCTTATTTTCATGGACGCATTCTTGGGGTATCATCAGATCTTCATGCACCCTAACGACCGAGCAAAAATGGCATTCGTTACGAACGTCGGGTGTACAATTACAAGATGATGCCCTTCGGATTGAAAAATACGAGGGCAACATATCAAAGACTGGTCGATAGGTCTTCGCCGAGCAAAAAGGCCGCAACATGGAAGTTTATGTTGACGAT